AATTGTATTTAAACAATTCTTATTTTTTATTTATCTGAACAATATTAACAGAAAAACTGATCTTAATTATATAATCAAAATGTTTTTGTTTTTATTAATAAAAAATATTTTTAAAATATGAACATGTAAATATATATATATATTAATATGATGAAATAAATCTTCTTCTTTTCTTGAAATTGTTCGATGTGCAATATAAAAATTTGATATATATAAAATTTTATTTTCAAAATAATTTTGATTCAATATAAAATTTTTAATTTAATTAATTAAAAATTTATTTAATTAAAAATATAACAATATTAATTTTTTGTAGTATAAAAAGGCAAACATAAGTAAAACAATTAACTCTTATATCAAACGCTTCAAAAGATCTTATATTTGTATAAATCGTGGGAAACTATACTTATATTTTCTATATATTTTCTATATGTCGATAAAGATAAGAAAGTAAAAATAAATACATTTAAACATTTCTGTAAGAAATCTTTTATATTACAGTATGATGCTTTGGAATGCAACAGCTCATCGATATTCGTTTACAGCTGTGTCTATTCTAGGTTCACTCAGCACGTTCTCTCTTAGAATTATATGCGAAGCATAACCTTCAAGGAAGCAGAAAAAGTGATGCTTGATGAAGATATTCAAGGTTACGCTTCCGCGAGAATGATGCTGAATATAAAAGACTAGATATCCTCGGAAGCCTAGGGTTATGACGATTATTATTAAACAGTTAAAGAAAAAAAGATTGATTATTTCTTGTAAAAAATTATTTATCTTATGTCGTAGATTTATGTTCATATATAAGCAGACAAGCAAAGTAGCGCGACAAGTTTGTTTTTTGACGTGTTGCTCTTAATACTTGTCGAGTCAGTCGAAGCTCACAGTACAAAAATAATGGATTTATATGTTTCTTTGTATGCCTGTTGCATTATGTATATAGTCAGCAAAATCATATAAAAGAGATGCAATTTTAAATAATAAATCTAACATTATTCTAACATTATTTATTAAATGTTTTTTAAGAAACATGAGAAATTATTTATAAAAGTTTATCTTTATTATTTAATGTATCAAAATATTAAAAATGTAATTAATTATTATTTATTATTTAAATTTTAGCAGGAAATCACCGATATATTTTGTATTACGCATTGTAAAATTTGCAGAGATTATTAATATTGTTTCAAGAAAAAAGCTTGCAAATTTCGAGCACGTTAAGCGAAGACATAGAAAGAAAAGAATTAAACTGAAGGACAAAAAGCTGTTGTGAGTATCGCCTAAGAGAGCTTAATAGAGAAATGACTTATTTCCAGCTGTATAATTTGAACACACATATAAGCCTGTAAGGTAGGTAAGTCAAACTTTATTGCGCAAGAACCTCAACAATCTCTCGTGCTACTAACGATTACCATTGGTATTTCCATTATCGATCTATTGCCGTTGTGAGGATTCTATTGATGATATGAAAAATTGACGCTGATGATGACAATATTTGCATAGTTATTAATAACGATCATATGAGGGCTCATTAACCTCTGCATGAGGCTTTATTGCCTTGCGTATATATTGCGCAATGGTACATTTGTTTAGGATCTTATGTGAAAGTAAAACCCTGTGTTCGTAAAACTGCGACAAGTATGATCACGATGTCGCGCTCTGATGAGACAGAGAAAAAAAAGGAAAAAAATCTTGAACACGTAATCACTTGCTGCCGTATATCGAATGTCACCTGTCTATTAGCTGTTGCATGCAAAGATATGATTCAATGTATGATCATCATTATGACATATCGAAAAGATGTTATCGTGTTTAAAGTAATTTAAACAAGTAATTATAGTTAAGAAATAATGTGAATCTGTCTCATGACAATAAAGATTATAAAATCATGTCAATCAATCAAGAGAATAAAATATACAAATTTTTGGTCTTAGTAAAGACTCCTTTTTTTCAATAAATTTCTGTAAAAAAAACATATTGTGGTAATACATTTCGCAATGAAAGATTATTTATTATATTTTTAATTTTATTTTTATGATAAGTACATTGTATATGTAAGAATTTAGTTATCTATTAACGATTTATTTTATTACATATATCGTATAAATATCGCTTAAATATTTCTTAAAATTCTTGATTATATGAGTGCCAAAATTTTTACCAGAAAAAAAGATCAATCAAAAATGACTTCGTAGCTATATAATTATGTTTTTTAATTTAAAATTGAATAAAAATGCAATCTCATTACAAATAAAGATAAAGATAGATAAATAAAATAAACAAAATATAAAGAAAATAAAATAAAATCTATTAAAATCTATTATATTATATAAAATTTTCTAAATAAACTATTCTCCTAACTATAAATCCTGTTATTAAAATTAGTATTAAAAATTTATATAATCTTTGAATATATTGCATAATCAATTTTAAATATTTATGTTTTTCTTTAATTTTCATAATTTTACTAAATTCTCATTTCATGATACCATTTTCTATTATGATTTAATGCATGATATAGAATTATAAATTAATTTTTGGCGCTTCAAGTTTTAAAATATTCAATATTTCTAATGATTCTTATATAAATTAGGTATGTAGATTACGGATTTAATAGTAGCATTGATATAAACGCAATTTTCTATGACAAGAGACTCGCAAAAAAAAATAATTATGCAAGAACATAAAATAATCAAACCAAATGATTTAGCAAAGAGAGCTTTTCTTCATGGGCAAGAGTAATAATCAAATATTAATTATTTATAAATATAAATAATTATTAATTAATTATTTATATTTTTTCTCTCTTTCTCTCTCTCTCTCTCTCTCTCTCTCTCTATTTTTTGTTTATTTGTTTCTAT